GGCTGCGGTGGCCGGGAGCGGCCACTGAACTCCAGTCTGGGCAACAGAGTGAGACTCCAAGTCAAAAAAAAAAAAAAAGCCGTATCTTTTTGCATATTTGCAGTTGAAATGATCTCAGGTCTGGTATTAGCTTTAAATTAAACTAAGAGTGGATGGGGTAGAGATGAAACAAGATTGGTAAATTAATGGCAATCATTAAAGCTGGAGATCATTTTTTTGTGTGTGACATACAGTTGTAAAAAATTTTCCTCTGCAAAAAGAACTTTTATGCTTTTAGAAATGCCTTAAAATCACTTCCAAATATGACTTTCCAAATAGCATGAATATTGTTTTAAAGTTTTAGTGAAATAGAAACTTATATCTTTGCCCCTTCAAGCAGTTTTTTTAGGGCTTTGAGTCTACGGTCCTGCTGACAGAAGAGGAAAGCTCTATTTTCAATAGCCACATGTCATTTTTTGGGAAAATTTTTAGAATCAGATATTTGGAGTCATCAATCTGGAATGATAAAAGTGCAAACAACGCATAGTTCAGCATACTCATCTAGGAAGAGAAGCCAAAGATGTTCTGAATGAGATCTTAAAAGCTTGCACCCCTTGGAAGCTACCACACGCTGTAGTGGCCCATGATGAGGCAGGCCTATATCCCCAAACACCTAAGGCTCACGCTAAAGCACAGGGCATATTTTTATTAGAGTATCAGTTTCATGAAACTCAGAGGCTCTGCTTGTGCACCACTCAGAGGGGCGGGGCTCTCAGTGGGAGTGGTGGAGACCCCATAGCACAGCCCCACTTCTTTCCCTCTCAGGTCTCATTCCAGCCAATCTAACTGTGACATCCTTCATGTTGTCACCCACCCCATTATCACCCAACCTTGTTTCAATTCTCTACATGGCTTTTATCATTGATTCCTATCACTAGGATGTAAGATCCAAAGAGGCCAGAAAGCCGCCCCGCTCATCCCTCTATTTAGAGCTCATGCCAGGGCATGGCACTCACTCCACACGCAGCTGCTGAAGGATGAAGTGACTTGGAAGCCCAGCCCTTTACGCTCTCATGGGGTATTTAGTGTTAAAGATAACTTAAGCGCAAAATTTATGCAGCACCTGGTACAAGACACTCTTTCTAAAGAAAGATGAAGTTACCACCTTTTAACCTTAAACCTCCCTTTAGAAAATACGAAAACTGGCAGGGTTCAGTGGATTGCCTGAGCCTACGGGTTCAAGACCCACCTGGGCACCTTGGCAAGACCTCATCTCTACAATAAATCAAAACATTAGCCTGGCATGGTAGCACACGCCTGTAGTTCTGGCTACTTGGAAGGCTGAGGTGGAAGGATTGCTGGAGCCCAGCAGGTCGAGGCTGCGGTGGCCGGGAGCGTGCCACAGCACTCCAGTCTGGGCAACAGAGTGAGACTCCAACTCAAAAAAAAGAAAATACAAAAACTGAAGAAAATGGTGACAAAAAATTGTAGCCATGACCAAAGGCAAGGAAAGATTAAGAGCCTAATAAAATCTAGCAAACTATGTACTTACTGTGAGTAAACTGCCATTGACAAGATAAAGTAAAAACAAAAGTACGGAAATCAAGGAGGTTAAAAGTTGTGTGACAAAGAGAGTAATCTAGAGGATCAAAGGGGAAGTGCTCCTCCCACCACTGCCAGGACACCACCTTCCTACTAGGGCCCAGCAAGGCTGGAACAAGTGCCAGCACCTCCCAAGTGGGGGATGCTGAGTCCAGTCCACAGGACTTCCCACTGCAGCTTTACTTACAGGAGATGTGGTTTCTGGTTTGGGTGCTGGTGCTTTAAATGTAGATGTATTTCTGGCAACATCAACTCTCTTGTCTACTGCGGTTCCCACAGACAAGCACTCCAAGTAATCAGGTGGTGGGATGACCATGCTGCTCTTCTCAGACAAGTTCACAGTGCTGATGCTTCTCACCGGCGCAGGGCTCCAAACCAAAAATGACCGAATACACGTTAAATAAGTCTCACCACTAGAATGCCAAGCATCCTAAATGTCCCATGGCAAATGACTACAGTAACAGTGGATCACTAACCAAAGGGGAAGGAGAAGGGGATTTCAACACACACACATACACACTCTCTCACTCACTCTCTTTCTCATACATTAATGTTTTTACAGGTTTATAAGCATATCCTAAAAATAAATTCTTTAGAAGAAAACAGTTTAATTAGGGACTGACTTTTGATTGATTTCATCTAAGGATATCAGTAAGAAAATGAAGACTATGGCAAAAACCTAAACAAGCACTGAGCATACAAGATTAAAATATATTTAAAAACTCAGAATTTTAACATCCTAAAAATTATACTCAGTTTTTATTTCTTGTCACACTGATGCTTTAGCTATTCTGCTAGGGACAAAGATATGTAGATGGCATCACAAGATCTTGAGCAAGTGTGATGGAGGACCCGGGGGCTATTCTACCTGGACAGCCAGATGTGTTTGGGTGTTTCTTGGGACACAGAGAACACTGAGGATGAGGTAGTTTAGGGTAAAGATGACCAGGCCAATTTGGACATGTCGTTTCTGAAGACCCAAGGGACAGCTGATTAGAACTAATACACACATAAAAATTCACATCTAAGCTCAGAAGAGATCTGATTCTGGTCTTGGTTCTGCTACTTCTAGCTGAGTGCCACAAGTTATCCTCACTTTTTAAAGGGGGGAACCTACCTCATAGGGTTGTTGTAAGAATTAAATGAGCTCAATATAAAGCACTTTGGACAGTCTCTGAGTGGTAACTACTCCTATTCTTATCATCTGGACTGGAATGCAGATTTGGAGGTATAAGCACACAGGTGCTAAGTGAAGCCTATCGGTGTTCAAGTCATGGTAGTGGACAAGAGGCCCAGCACCAAGAGGGGAAAAGGATTAAACTGAGGATCATCAGTTTAACCAATGGACAGAAAAGAGACTCACAGAGGGGACTTTTTCAGAGGGGATGCTGGTAAGGCAGAAGGAAGACGGAGCACAGGTCAAGCAGTCAAGGCAAGAGAGCATTCCAGAAAAAGTTCTTAACAGCGCTAAAGGCTGTTAAGTAAGACAAGGACAGAAAATATGGACCTCAGATTTAGTGACCAGTAGGTGGTGGGGAACAGCGAGGGTGTTTCAGAGGGCTGGCAGGAGAGAGAGTGGAGAGTAGGTGGTCTGTCTTCAAAGCAGACAGTCAGTAAAGCCCATGGACAACAGAAATCATGACAGAAACCACTGTGGAGCAGCAATGTTTATTTCTGACCAGTCCATAAGATGTATAGTTTCATAGTGGGGATTGCTATATATCTAGATTATAAATCTGCTATGCCTGGAAGGGTTAGGTCTAAGGGTTTCTGGGGCTGGGAGATCTGAGTCACGTTTGGGTACTACCTGGGCGTGGGCATAGTCATGGTTTCCTTTGCATTTTCTTCTAGCAACTTTGTATATGACGATGGGAACCAACCCCTCCTACAGGTAAAGCATGAGAAAAAAAAGACATTTTTTTGTGGTAATAGCAGCAGACAAATGAACAATACATACATTAAAGAATATTCTGATGATAGCTCAGGAGCAGACTGGTCCACTTTCACCATAAATGCCCATGCATGAGCTGAATGAAATTGAGGCTTCTTATAAATTAAACATGTACTTTTTACACACAAAATGTATTTTGTATATAACATTAATTTTAATATGGATTCCTTTTACTTTTTATATTCATTTTATTTAATACACCTAAATAATCTACATAGAAAACTGACTTAACCTAGTTACAGTCAGGCTTGTGCACATACTCATGGCTGAAATGATGAGGATGGCATTTAAGCTATCTATGTGTTAAATCTTAAGTGTTAAAGTATATCTGATATGCAGATTATCCTTGAGAAATCAAAAGCCACATTTTTAAAAAGCAAAAAACCCATTTAAACCTACTTTCAGAGAGGTGACTTCATATATATGCACAGGCAGAAAATAACCTGGGATCGAATAACTTCAGTTAACTAAACTAGAACTATAAATTTAACTTTGGCTAAAATGCTAACACATCCACAAAGACAATCTGCAGCTTAGAAGGACAGACAGCCACTCTTGAAGTGAGGGGCCATTTGTAATCCTGTGGGGCTGCAGCGCCTAGACTCACGCCTTGGAGGTGTCATGTTCTCCGTAGAGCCAGCCGTCCTTCTCCTCAGGGATGAGCAGTGTGATGCTGTCTCCCTGTGCAAAGCTGAGCAAAGTCTTGTTGGTGCCCGCGGTATGTGGGAAGATGGTCTTTACTTTCTGCTTTTTCATCAGGTTCAGTCCAGTTGCAACCGACACTGATCGCTGTAAACTGGGATCTTCAGAATTATCTGTCAGAGTGAGTGTAGCAGCAAAGCCTTTTCAAAGAAGGGTAATTGACTGGCATGTTCCAATGAGCAAACCCCAGAAAACCATTGCTCTCACTTGTCAACGCACACCTTCTACGGAAACTCTGATCATGTCATACTTCCTCGCCTTGATCACTGCCAGATGGGGACAGGGACTGCAGGAGATAGGCAGTCCATAGCCTGAGGGCTTTAACAGGCAGGGGAGGATCCCTGTGGCTCAGGACTCCCTTCTAGATGGAGGGCACAAGCCAGCATCTGCTGGCTTTATCTGTACCGACTAATCAGGATCACTCTCATTAGAGAGCAAAAAGCTCCCACACCAAACTGTTCTCTCAACTTGAATCACTTTGTGAGCAGGCAACAGTTCAAGTCCAACTGTTGACATGTGCAAAGGAAAAGCAAATGTTCTTGCCACCCCAACTACTCAGCTCCTCACCCCAGGTGGAAAGGTGAGGTGAGGATGAGCTCTTCACAGAGCCCTCACTAGGTGCCAGTCTCCATTATCAACACCTCACAGCCACCAGTCCACCAGGCTCCTAAGAGAAACGTGTAGCTATTATCCACAGATAGGTCCCACAGCTGCCAAGTAACCAAGTCAGGAACCAGTTGCAGACAGTGCTCGCACCATTCATGTCTCAATTTGAACACAGGCTAACGTTTTCAGTCCATAAAAAAAAAAAGTGGAATGGAGATTTTTTTCTTTTTGGATTTTCTTTCTCAAACTTTGCTTAGGCTAGTAATATAGCTGACATATTTAAGTTAAAACAATGCAAGATTTTTTCTGCTTTATTCTTTTTTTTTTTTTTTTTTGAGAAAGCAGGACTTATTGAGAGGACAGAAAAGCTTCCACAGTGGGAGGGGACCTGAGGGGGTTGCCCTGCTTTATTCTTGCAAATTCTTTTTTTTCTTTTTAATTTATCTAATAAATTTATCTAATAGAGGCAATGTCTCGCACTCCTGGTCTCAAGCAATCTTCCTGCCTCAACTTCCCAAAATGCTGGGATTACAAGTGTGAGTCACCACGCCTAGCCTCTTCTTGCAGATTCTTAATAAATACAATATAAAATAAACCTTGTTCTCTTCTAAACATGCTACTGTCTAATTACCTCGATAGTGTTGAAACCACCAGCAATTTTCATTTCACTTTTATCACCAAGAACCAGAGTCATTTGAATGACTGGGCTGCACACAGTATTATGTATTTTAACTTTGTATTTCATATACAGGCAAATGACTACAGACCATCATCTTCCTCTGCTAAGCAATCCTAGTTGTGATTCTAGAAATCTCTCCTCTTTTGCCCTAGAGCTTCACATGCCCTGATCTGTGAGCTTTCTCCAGCACACAGCTTGATCACTATAACATTCACATCACAGGGACCCATAAGACAGGTCAGGGCCATGGCACAGGTCTCAAGGGTCCTAGGTGCCAAAGACGGTGTGTAGGAAGAACAGTACCTAACTAAGGAAACAGCCTGTAACCTCTGCAAAAAAACAAGTGGTCCCAATTTGTTGAGACACAGTAAACAGAATTAAGAATTTAAACAGTTAGAATTTGGTGTCTATAAAGCATGAGGTACTCTGTTAGAGATGATGAAAAATGCTGATTAGGGCCTGGCATGGTGGCTTACACCTGTAATCTTCGCAGTTAGGGAAGCTGAGGCGAGAGGATTGCTTGAGCCCAGGAATTTGAAACCAGCCTAGGCAACATAGCAAGATCTAGTCTCTATTTTATTTTATTTTTTTTTTGAGTTGAAGTCTCACTCTGTCACCCAGACTGGAGTGCAGTGGCCACTCCCGGCCACCGCAGCCTCGACCTGCTGGGCTCTGGCGATCCTTCCACCTCAGCTTTCCAAGTAACCGGAATTACAGGCATGCGCTACCACTCCCTGCTGATTTTTTGATTTATTGTAGAGATGAGGTCTCGCTGCCCAGGCGGGTCTCGAACCCGCAGGCTTGGGCAATCCACTCACCTCAGCCTCCCAAAGGTGCAGGATTACAGGCTGAGCCACCGAGCCCGGCTTCATTTATTTTTAAATATAACTTTCAATGGTATGTTTACTCTGTACAAACATCAGTCAGTACATAAAATTAGTATATGTCAAAGAAATGTGTCACTTATCAAGATGTCTTCTGGTCTAGACCTTTATTTGTTTTGAGCCTATACTCTTCAAAGTCAGGGCTGAACATATATGTCCCATACCTATTTGTTACTTCTACCTCATAATGTGCTTGTCTAATTATTTATCTCACAAATTATTTTTGAAAATTTAAAAAGATATCTTCAAAGAAATCAAATGAAATCTCTTACCTGTTGAATTATTTATCCTTTCTGGATTCTGGGTAACTGTTGCTGGGTTATTAAACATATCGATCAAAGGACTGGTATATGCTCTGCCTGAAGGAGCTGGGGGCATCTTTGGTGAGTATTTTGAAAGGGTGTCATACTCTTTCCCAACCTGTAGAAAATTCTTTATTAATCTTAGTACAACAGATAATTGAATATACAGATTTCCAGGGCTATTTTCTAATCATAGGCTTTACAGTCCACCTTCTCCCCCAAATTCTCTTAGTTGTAGGGCAACCCTCCATCTCGAATTACTTCAAGAGTACCACACTCTTTTTTTCCCATCTTTGTTTTTGCAATCTCTTCATTGTCCTCCAGCTCCCGGCAACCACTACTTGATGTCTCTTTAGATCTCAGGCTCCCTCTTAAGTGCTACTTGGCTATGGAATTCTACATTCAAAATAATTTTTCCACAAAATTTTGAATGCACTGCTTCATTAACTTTTTTTTTTTTTTAGTAGTCTCACACTGTGCCCAGGCTGGCGTGCCGTGGCATGCCCATGGCTACTGCAGTCTCGATCTGCTGGGCTCAGGCGATCCTTCCATCTCAGCCTTCCAAGTAGCTAGAACTACAGGCATGCACCACCATATCTGGCTTTTTATTTTATTTTATTTTATTATTTTATTTTATTGTAGAGACGAGGTCTTGCCATGTTGCTCAAGCGGGTCTCAAGCAATCCTCTTGCCTCAGCCTCCCAAAGTGCTAGCATTACAGGCATGAACCACTGTACCCAGCTTCATTAATTTCTAAAATCTTGTTTGCTATCAAGAAATCTGGAATCAGTGGGATTCGCTTTTCTTTGTAGTAATCTAACAACAAACAGGATATGCTGATGGAAGGCTGTGTAAGGAGGAGCTGACATTCTGTGTCTACTAAAGAATGAAGTTGCCATTTTCTGGATGGAGAAGACTGGGAACAAAGGAAACCAGTTATTTGGTTTTGGACAACTGAATTTGAATTCTCTATTAGACACTGGGGTAGTGATGCTGAGTAGGCATCTGGCCACATCTCCCACGTCTCAACTTGTCTACCATGCCTTTATCCTTTGTTTGGTTTAAAATCCTTTTTCTATTTTTGCACTGTGTTTTGGGAGAGTTCCTTCACTCAATTTTACAAGCGGTTCCACTCTGCTAATGAGCCCATCTATTAGTGTTTGGGGTGGGGGGTGGGGGGGGGGAGGAAGAAATCCAATGAAAAGAAAACTCTTTGTAGAAAAATTTCAAGTATGTACAAAAGTAGGAGAGAATAGCATACTAAATCTCCACATGCTCAACACCAACTTTGACAATTACCAATTCATGATCAGTCTTGTTTCATCCATACCTCCATCTGCCTTCCTGAACTATGCTTAGATTATTTTGAAGTAAATCCTAGCCATATCATTTTACCTACAAATAAGAATCCACTTTTATATTTGCAACACCTTCAGCTGGCTCTTGTGGATGTAACATCCTTTCATCCCTTTCTGAAGCACTCTCCTCTGCCTACTGATTCTGCTGCCTCCAACCCTGGTCACTCCAATTTTTTGTTTTGGTGCCTCTTTATGATATTGGTTTCCTCATCTGTCCAGGGATTCCTGGTTCATTGCCTTCAAACTGTATGACAGTCCCTATTCTTTTTACTGTATATAATGGTCTGCATTTTGCCTGTTCTCATGACACAGACCATGGTGATGTGGGAATGTGAGATGCACTTCCAGAGGTGTCCAAGCTCTTCAGTCCAAACACTGTTTACCTAGTAGACAAAGTCCCTGCTGCCTGGAGAGGAGATTGACCAGCACCCGCCAACCAGCTACATAAAGAGAAGCCCAGGTCCTCTCCCACCTCTTGAGTCCATGCAGCAGCCTTACCATGATATGCCTGGGGCTGAAGTTTTCTTCTGATTCTCTACATACTGATCCTGTCTTTTTCTATCTTAGAGACTCCTTCTGGTCCACTGATGGCCCCTTCTCTCCCTCTCCCATGACTTATGATAGATTCTGTAGGTAGCTGACTGGGTTTTAAGATCTTTGCTGTTATTTCAGCGGATTTTATATGGGCGGAAAGAGTGGGCCCATGTGTTCAAACTATTTGTTGGATTAAAGCCCAGGTTCAAAGCCCAGCAAACTACAACATGAGAATTCATTTCCTTGAATGCCTTGGTGACTATTTTTTCCTGAAGTGCCTTATGCTGTGATGAACAGCAGAAGAGTGTCTAATCCACCCCCTGAGACATCTATATTTCCCTCACTGGGAATATACTTATAAAGCTGAAATCACTACAATTAAAAACAGTAATAACAGAATTTCCCAAACAAAGATAATAGTGCTAAACACAGTGTAAAATATTTGCATAGCTAATTCCAAATCTGAGGGGAAGGGATAAAGGCAAGAAAAGGTGGGCCTACAAGGAATAAAGGAGAACTTGTGTTTCCACCAGCAAAGGCAGACTAGGTCCTCTGGGCAAGCTTGGCCCACATCAAGTTAGTAAACACACAACTGACATCTCAATGAGGTCACTGTTCCTACCATGCTGCTTCTCTCAATCATGGGTGATGGCTGAGGCGTTCCAGACACTGGAGTAGAGACTGGAGTCTTTATTTCTTCAATCATATTCATGATTTTCTCTGGTACTTTGGTGACATCACAACAGGTTTCCTGCCACCGAGGCAGTTTGGAATTAAGTAATTCTGCAGACTATAAATCCAAAAGAAACGAAACTAAAGACAACGTACTATTTGAAGAGCTGACAAAAACTACATCAAATAACATCACTGATAACATATTACGTACGGGCTTACCACCAGAAGTATGGGAGTGCTGAGTTCAGTTCAGTAGGTAGTTTAATCATCTATAAGCATCTGCTGTGTCTCATTTACTGAGGTCATAGGTTCTGGCTCTAAAGGAATTTTGCCTGCTCCCCCAACATGCATACAGAGACTCAGACAATATGGGGATAGTAAACAATTAAGAAAAAGTTCAAAAACTATAAAAGGGAAGGGTTAAGCAATCTACAGGAGTGTTTTCCGAGTGACCCCCAAAATGCCAGTCATCAGCTTTCTACTTCCCACTCCTTCTAAAAGCACATCTCCAACATGGGCCACGGGCCCAGGAGATGACACTTAGATTCATACTTCAGAGAACTGACTCACATTCTGTCCTGAGAAGTCCCTCTACAGGACACAGGGACTGTCAGTGGAGTGCGGTAGGCAGTGCTGAGGGATGCCCTGCCGCTGGTCCACCCAGGTGTTACAGAACACAAAGACTGGCAATGATGATACCCTGCAACCCCACAGGCCGGGGTGTCCCTCTTACTCCCATGAGCCTGGCTCTGCTTATGGCAACTGGACTCCCAGAGACTTCCCAAAGTCTTTCAGTGAACCCCTTTTCCAGGGCAGCAATCTGGCTACAAAAGGGAAGTGGGGGGCCTGTCCTGCAGCAGTTTGCATGGCAATCACACTGTTTTTACTCAGACGCTGTGTTTACTGGGAGTGGCTAGGATGCTGATGTAATCCTAGGAGAGGGCAAAGCTCCTCCTCATACCACCCTGTCCCCAACTATCACCCTGACGTACTAGGGCAATGCCCAGTTGCTTGGGCATGCTTCATCCAAGAGTCACTTAAAGGACTGGGACACTTTAGCTGGGATAGGAAAGTCACAAAAGTAGTTTTCAGATACTTGAAGAAACTTCTGGCACAGAAAGCAGCAGATTCAATTTGTGGCACTCTATAAAGTATAAATGGAACCTAAGGTTAAGTCTAAAACTTTGCCAAGCTGGGTGCAGTAGCTCCTGCCTGTAATCCTAGCAACATAGGGAGATCTCGTCTCTACAAAAAGATTTTAAAAATTAGCCAAGCATGGTGGCATATGCCTGTAGTCCCAGCTACTCAAGGGGCTGAGGCAGAAGGATCACCTGAGCCTAGGAGATCGAGGCTGTGATGAGTTGTGATTGTGCCACTGCACTCCAAGCCTGGGCAACAGAGGGAAAAAAAAGAAAGCAAGAAAGAAAGACTTTGCTATGCTAACAGCTAGAGCTCTCTGGAAATAGACCAGGGTTGTCTCATGACATAGCAGGGCATTGCCACAGGAAGAGCAGTTCAGGATCACTTCCATCTCTCTTTAGCCTATGACCCCTCTGCAGCAAAATGCCCTCACCTAAAAATAGAAGTTCCTAAAGATAACTTGACACTGCTGAAACTAGTACAGGTGCACTGTTGACATAAATGATCATCTAATACAGCAATTCTTTCCTTTGCTGTAACCTCAAAGTCACATATGTTGGAAGGACAGTGATAAGGTCAGCCGAGGAAACCATGAATAAACAGCATGAAGAGCAGTGAACATGTAAAAATGCCCAACAATCCTGATGTATGTGAATGGGGGTCTGTGGCCTGGGGCAGAACTGTCTGTACCCCCAAGCACAGATCCACAAGGGGAACATCTCAAACTACCCAGGGGGAGTGAACTTGGGCCCACTGGGACTCACCCTGTGGCGCTGGTGAAGACACATGCTGAGGATGCAACAGAAAGAGCCTGAGAAAAGTCAACACATAGGAGAGAAAAAGCAAAAGGTGCTTTTTCTAAATTATTAAGCACAGTATTATGAGCAACTTTAAATATGGATGTATTAATTAATTAAACATTATAAGTGGACATTTGCCCGTTTCAACTGTATTTCTATAAGTTAACATATTCAAGTTAACTGTTTCTTTTTTTTTGAGTCAGGGTTTCATTCTGTCTCCCAGGCTGGAGTGCAGTGGCACAATCACAGCCCAACGCAGCCTCTAACTCCCAGGTTCAAGTGATCTCCCGCATCAGCTTCCTTAGTAGCTGGGAATACAGGTGTGTGCCACCATGCCTGTCTAGCTTTGTGATTTTTTGGGGGTGAGGGGGCTTGTCTCAAACTCTTGAGCTCAAGCAATCCTTCTGCCTCAGCCTCCCACAATGCTGGGATTACAAGCGTAAGCCACCGTGCACAGGCCAAAAACTGTTTCTTTGGGATCTTCTCATTGTCAAAATAGGCCACTGCTTTATATAGAGCATATATGGAAGATACAGCATCTAAAGTTATTTAAATACAATGTAAAGTTACCAGTAAACTCAATGCAACTGGCCATCACACCCACCTGTAGGTGATAATAATGTATGTGATTTGCAAAGCTGCAGTGTTTGTCAACCAGAAAGCAGAAGCGTCTTTTTTCTTCAAGTAGAGCTTCTTTGCAACCATCTGCAATGAATTTCTGGATTTCACTCTGACGAGAAGTGACAGTCTCTACATACTGAAAAAATAAATAATAATTATACAAGTATGACATGAGGCATTAGATAGCCACACAGCCTGACATTTATCTTCTGCCATCTTTATACCTGGTTTATTTTTAAAATGGAGCAAACAGTAAATGCAGATACACATAAGACAAAATATAGTTGTAACCTGACTTGAGTAGATACCATCATTCTCATAAAGATCCTGACTCATGTGTGAAGAGAAGTTGCCAAAGCTTTATGGAACACTGGGCAATTTGCACACAATATTACTCTGTACTCCAGGGATATGATGGTGTTGTTCTGGAAAGCACTATGGGCTTTGGAACCAAGGTTCCAGGTTCAATCCCGTTCCAAATGCCAACCATATGACTTAGCCTAAGCCTCATTTTCCCCATCTGTAAAGTGGAGATAGTAATGAAAAACACAGAGTCCTTTACCCTCTTGGAGTCAGGAGAAAACACCAATGTTTTTAAGAGACCACTGACTAATTAAGTTTAACTTTGGAAAATTCTGCAGGCTTCAACTCTTACTAAGTCAAACACTTATTTTTACTTTAGCAACAGCACAACATTGAGTGGATAAAGTACAGGCTAACTGAGGTAAGTAAACCTCTCTCCAAGCTATATGAATAATCAAAACAAAAGAAAAAAAATATTGCTAAAAAGTTCACCTCAATTTCCTTGTGTTCATATTTTAGTGCATTTCGTCCTCCTTGACTTTTCCTTTTGATCTTCTTCAACTCAGCTTGAGATTTCTCCAGAGAGTCTAATTTATTCTTGTGTTCTGTTTGGTATCTTTTTAGAGTTGCCTGTAAATAAAATGTGTGCTTATTTTACTGTGGCACCATTCAAACTGTCACACAGTCACTTTGTGCTTACAGTTCCACTGTGTGCAGCTGGCTGGGGCGCCAACACCCTCAGTTCACACCATTCTCCCACTAGCTGGGGCCCTCACACCCTCCCCTCAAACTATGCTCCCAATGCCGGGACCCTCATACCCATCCCTCCCACCACCCTCCTGCTGCCTGGGACCCTCACACCCTCAGTCCACATGACCTCCCTCCATTCAACTTTAATGTCTCAGCTTGTCTGTTATAAAGTTCCTCATTCATAGGAGAGGCCCTTGACCAGAACAGCAGCTCTTTGAGAACAACAATGTCTTCCCTTTTTAAAATTTCTTCTTCCGCATAGGCATTCGGACAGCATTGTCAGTAAGTGCTTTGGTGGATAAATAAATATCAATCACATGCTCCTGGCTGTTTTAAGATATGTGATTTTAAGAAACAGAACCAACAAGTACAATCATTATTGCTTTGAGTATGCTATAGCAGAGTGTTTAAGAACATGGGGTCTGAGCCTAACATCTGTGTTGCAACTCTAATCCATGATTTCCCCTATAGTCTGTAAAATGAAGATAACAAAGGTATCTATGCATTAGATTTACTTTAGGGATAAAAATCAGATAAGTTATGTAAAGTGCTTGGCATTAAATACACCTCAGTGGTCATCCACAGTCGTGTGGCCTCCCGCCAGGAATGCACAGAGCACATGAGCATACGTGGGCAGGAGGCCTCCTGAGGACCACAAAGGAGGGCCCATTTCAGGGTAATCTGCACTTCTTGTTGCCACATGGGGGTCTTGGTGAGCAGAAAGGAGACTTTGGCTCAGGTGTGATTGCTCACACCTGTAATCCAAGCACTTTGGGAGGCAGAGGCAGGAGGATCGCTTGAGCCCAGGTGTTTCAGCCCAGGAGTTTGAGAGCAGCCAGGTAACATAGGGAGATGGTATCTCTACAAAAAATAAAAAAGTTAGCTGGGTGCAGTGGTGCACACCTGTAGTCCCAGCTCCTTGGAAACTGAGGCAAAAGGATCTTTTGAGCCCAGGTGTTTGAGGTTACAGTGTACTCCGGCCTGGGTCATACAGTGAAATCCTGTCTCTCTATGTTAAAAAAAAGGAGGGGGGGAGGTTGGAGGGACTTTGGGTGGCAAAAGAAAGTGAGGACTCTATTGCAGCAAGGGAAGACAGCATGAATCCTGTGTCCTGGGGCTGTAGGGCCAGCCTGAAGGAGATCTAGAGAAAACAATACTGGGTGTAACAGACAGGAGACACTAAGCTGGAGAGTTCTCTGCAGATTGGATCCAGAGGCCCCAGATGGTGTCCTCCCACACACCACTCATGCCCTGAAGTGCTGGTTTGTTAAGTGCTACGTCTGTAACAGCTGCAGTAACACAGACGCAGATTCCTACCACATACACATGTTCTGTGAAAATAATGCTTTCTGGAAGCAGTGTGATCTCTGACAAAATTTTTTTCTATGCTTTTTAAAAAAGATCCCAAGTGCTAGCAAAAACTAGCCTACTCTGCCCAAAGGGACATTGCTAGTTTTCAACATCAAGCTCTACCCCTATTTGCTGCTGCTGAATAAACGGTGGGCAACAGTACTCCTCGGGCTGACAGGTCAGGGACCCCTAGGCCAGTAGAGGGAACTGTACTTACATTCATATATTTTACATCAAGTTCCGTCTTCTTCTCTAGCTCATGTATAATCTCTTTATGAAATTTTTTGAACTGTTAACCAAAGGAAATAAAAAATTTACACCAGATTTGAGAATTTAAGCAAAATAAATATACAAACATGTATCAATATATTTTGTAAACAGAAAAACAGAGCACGTACGTTTTCCTCAAGACTCTCATTGAGTTTCTTGTGAGTACTGGAAATTTCTATGAGAACATGGCCTGTGAACATAACCAGACATGTTAGGGGAAAAGCCAGTACATCGTTTTGTAAAGAGATTAAGGAAAGTGAACTAGTGGAGAGAAACAGCACTATGCTGCCCTTGGGGTCTTCAAGTTTTATGACTGATGTTAGGAACATCAGGAATGTGATGGGGGTTCCCATGGTGGGTCCCAGAGGGACACAGCTGACAGCAAGCTGACAGCAAACTGAGGCTACATTGTTAACCAAAAGAATACCACTCCTTTCAAACTCACATTGTTCTTTCGATATTTACTTGCTCCCTAAGTCGAATTCTATACATCTGAATTCTGAAATTCTCTCACAAATGATTACCTCAGTCATCATAGTAGCTAACTATAGGAACAAATGATTTATTTTTATCTAATCCCTAGAGTAATCTGATTATCTGTCAGGCATAAGAGATAAAGGCTATTTTCTTTTTTCTCATATTAGTTCTCGTATCGTTCTGGAAAATATGAACGCCAGGGGAAACCGCAGCAGGGACAGTGTTCTGCCTCAGATCTCCTGGGACTACACCAGCTCTCTGAAACAAGCACAGTCATGAGACATGGGAATGTTTTAGGACAAAGGAGCCTTACTCCAAAAGCAGCACTTGGTTTGTAATCTTATCTCCTTTGCGGGTAGTGGCAGCGTGCTACCTTTCTGCCACCTTTCTCTGATTAATGTGAGCAAGAGCCTCTTTGCCAGTTTAGCTGTAGGAACCAAATGGGTTCCTTAGGGTCTTACACCTGAAAAATGAAAGTCACATATAGAATCATCTGGAACCACCACCATCCAACCATACTAATCAACAACGAGATATGCCAGCAACAAGATGAACCCTACAGTTCAGTGGCCAGATAAAAAGGAGTTCTTGTGAGAACCAGGAATACCTGGGTTATCATCTTCTCTCTCTCAACTTCCAGCTTTTCTCTTCTAGATCATCTTGTTCACAGGCACCATAGATCTTTCCAAAATGAAGGGTCACGCGTCACATCCCTGCTCTCCCCATGGTGTCCCAAAGAAACTAGCTCCTGAGCACACCAGAGCCCTCTGTGAACTGCACTGCCTAAACCACGGCTGGAGGTAGGGACAGAGAACTGCCTGTAAGTATAACCTTGTAGGTTGTATGTGGTGAAGTTATGGGTATATAACCTAGTCCCTAAATGACTCTAAGAAGCTCTAATGGAATAACTCCTGGATAAACACAGGAGAGCAAGGCCAGAATCACCCCAGCACTCCAGGTTCCACCCTCCCAGTCTGAAGCTTCCCACTCCACATCTTTAATGATATCAACTTCATTCTCCTGAAACTCAACATGAAAAACAAACAAACAAGAATTCTTTACAAAAGCAGCCTTCATGTGGCCAAGAGCATAATTACATTAATATGTTATTTTATATCCACTCAATCATTTCAGATATTGAAATAATCTGAGTTATTTTTACATCTATTTTAAACCCACAAACAACATCTCATTGGAGATGAAAAACAAACAAAAACAACAAAACCACTTAAATTATTAGAAAATCAAGCACTCTGTTCTTGGCAAGTCAGATTTACTTTAAAAAATAAATGTCAGCTGGGCTCGGTGGCTCAGCCTGTAATCCTGCGCCTTTGGGAGGCTGAGGTGAGTGGATTCCCTGAGCCTGCAGGTTCGAGAGCCGCCTGGGCAGCAAGACCTCATCTCTACAATAAATCAAAAAATCAGCCGGGCATGGTAGCGCGCGTCTGTAGTTCCAGCTACTCAGAAGGCTGAGGCGGAAGGATCGCCGGAGCCCAGCAGGTCGAGGCTGCGGTGGCCGGGAGCGGCCACTGCACTCCAGTCTGGGCAACAGAGTGAGACTCTAACTCAAATAAATAAATAAATAAATAAGTAAATAAATGTCTAAAAATAATTTTGCTTAAATCATTCAGTGATTTGGCTTAGAAGCAAGGCATTCATATTTTTTCTCATACGGTTCTCTCTCATGAACTTTATTTCTACAACCTTACATAATGTGGATCTCTGGAAAGTGTGCTGCCAAAACCAAAGTGTGTGCTAGGGTGGACACTCCTGTGGATGCCTACACTGATGAACTTGGCACTCTGGCCTTGCGGCCCCTCAGCACACTCCGTGCTCCGCCCATGGTTTCCCCATGGCACGGCTGGCTGAGAGGCTCAGTGAAACAGCCCATTCACTCTGCGGGTAGGAGGGGAACACCTGACCTTGTTATTCTTGTCCCTCACTGTTCGTGGAATTCAAACACCAGCTTCACAGCAGAAGCCACCGAGTCCTCGGTCATAAAAAGGATTAAAACACATCTTGGCTGTGATTATGCAAGCTGCCAAAGTGTGTCTTGAATCAGAAGATGAAAACAGTCTTTATGCTCAATCTGCAGAAGTTGAATCTGAAATCTAGCAAGTGTTACTTCATGCTTAAATGCCATGCCACATGCGTTTGTTTACTCTTAGCCCCAAAACCTACTTTTTCATAACTTACATTTGAGAAGGAAAGAAAAAACCCTGAACATATTCATGGGTGGAGCCAAGAAATTACAGTCCAGATTCAGATGGAGCAGAACACTAAGTTTGTGCCCTGACAGGAGTCCACACCACCGCATGTGCTGGGTCAATTATTTCCTTTTATTCCCTTTTAGGTTTTGAGTCACCATTTTGGAAAGAAACTTATAGTAATTACAGTAATGTGACTCAGTCTGAGTCAGTTATATTCTTAAGTAGCAACATGAAAGGAATTTAGATTACATATATATATTTCAAAATCACAAACTCAACAGAACTGAAAGGTCTGCCACCAAATTTCCTCCAAAGTTAATACAAATAATGTATGGCTAAGTGTAACAGCTCTCTTAGAGTTTGTTTAGCAGGTTTTGGAAAACCTACTACAACAATAAAGAAAAATGGCTAATACTGGCAAACTCTAACGTTAGGAAATATGAACAAAAATGTCAACATTTTGGACCATACAGTATAAAGATATACATGTAGCCAATAGGCAGTATAGAGTTAAAACAAAATGTTAGATAATAAAATGTAAGGAATGTTATTAGTATGGACACATGGAAAGTTTTCATTGAATATAGAGCTGCTGGACTACTTATGTATTTATTTCCTCCCTCCTTCCCTCCCTCCCTCCCTCCATCTTTGTCTCTGTCTCTCTCTCTCTCTTTCTTTCGAGTCAGAGTCTCACTCTGTCCGCCAGGTTGGAGTACAGTGGCATGCTCACAGCCACCACAGCTTCATCCTTCTGGGTTCAGGTGATCCTTCTGCCTCAGCCTTCCAAGTAGCTGGAACTACAGGAGTGTACCACCATGCGTGGCTAATTTTTTGATTTATTGTAGAGACAAGGTCTCGTCAAGTTGCCCAGGCTGGTCTTGAACCACTGGACTCAGGCAATCCTCTCGCTTCAGCCTCCTAAAGTGTTGGGATTACAGGTATGAGCCACCACACCCGGTTGCTTATATATTTTCAACTAGACAATTCTTCATCAATTCACAGTATAAATTTAGAGGAACCAGATGGAGATTACTAACAGACTTGAATAGCACAGAACATGCAGGCATAAAGATTCTTTCCATTTATATTTGATCATGAATAATCAGAACACACTTTATTTCCAGAGAACACAGAGCAATGATTGAGTCACTCACTACTTCCTACATGTTACTACAAGTGGAATCAGACAATAAAACTACAGAGTAGAAGCCAACTCACTACAGGCCTAAAGGTATACTGCGCAGATTAAAGTAAAATTGATAAAAAATATCACTGGAAAAAGGACAGAATTTTTCTGACAGTTTTCCAAATATCAAATATGAGGAGAAAGTATAATGGAAGTAAAAGCACACTGTACACACAGGATATGTTAAATAAACAAGTATGTATCGTGAAGATTAGTTACCCACATTGAATTAGTGCAGAGGCAGATTAACAAACACAAGCATGTGACCAAACTTGCAAGGCTTTGTCAGTATCTAAGAACAGATTTCAGTGGCTGTCCACCTGCAGTCACTGGATGCAGCTGGAGGTGAGGTGTTCTCCTCTGGTCAGTTTCAATACTGCACAAACAATGCGCATGCTGGATGATATCAAATAAGTGATCAGGTGAGCATTTCTTTAAACACTCCCCCCAAAGTCTACTTCTGACTTAAAAAGCTACAATATTACATTCCAATAAATGTCTTATACAGAGAGTGTAATTATTCTACCACTGTGCTAACAAATAAACATATAAATAACAAAGGGGGTATGTCATATGACCCAGCTTGAAGGAGCTAGCTAGTACTAGGACAATTTGAGCACCAAAACAGATAAGGGGGGTACGAATCCAGGAGTCCACAGTAAATAGTTTGGTTTTTTTTTTTCCTTTTGAGACAGGGTCTCATTCTATTACCCAAAGTGGAGCACAGTGGCGCAATCAAGGCTAATTGCAGCCTCAACCTCCTGGGCTCAGGTGATTTCTTCGCCTCAGGTTCCTGAGTAGCTGAGTCTACAGGCAGACACCACCACACCCAGTCCAGCTAAATTTTCGTATTTTCTGTATAGATGAGGTCTTGTTATGTTACTCAGGCTGGACTCGAATTCCTGGCCTCAAGCGATTCTCCTGCCTCACCTCCTGAAGCACTGGGATTACAGGTGTGAGCCCCTGTACCTGACCAGGAAACAGACTTTAAAAAAAAAAAAAAAGGCATGGTGGGAGGGCTCTTGCTAGATGTAAAATGCAGAGTGCTAATAAGTAAATGAGGAGGGAATGTTAGAGGTGAAAAATCATAATCACAGTGAAGACTGGTTTGGGCAAAAATGATTAACAGATGCTAAACCAGGGTACAAATGTTGATGAGGAAAAAGATAGTTGCTAGCTTGAAGGCGTTTCCCTCAAAACTGCTTATTTATAGCAGTAGGAAAAAAATATTAACTATACAGGGCAGAAAGCAGATAATACCTCCACTGAACAACCAAAATTAAGTCATAAATGAGAGAAAAATGAACACTGTGTGCC